TTGAGGCAGAGTCTCACTCTGTGACCCAGGCTGGAGTACAGTGGCACAATCTCGGCTCACTGCGGCCTCTGCCTCCCGGGTTCAAGTGATTCTCCTGCTTCAACCTCCTGAGTAGCTGGGATTACAGGCATGTGCCACCACTCCCAGCTAATTTTGTATTTTTAGTAGTGACAGGGTTTCAGCATGTTGACCAGGCTGGTCTCGACCTCCTGACCTCAGGTGATCCACCCGCCTTGGCCTCCCAAAGTGCTGGGATTACAGACGTGAGCCACCATGCCCTGCCAACCGCTTCATATTTTTAATAGCCCCTTTAATATCATTTTATACTTAATAAGCATGGAGTCTTATTTTTAGACAGAGTCTTGCTCTGTTGCCCAGGCTGGAGTGCAGTGGCGCCATCTCAGCTCACCACAACCTCTGCCTCCCAGGTTCAAGTGATTCTCCTGCTTCAGCCTCCCAAGTAGCTGGGACTACAGGCGCATGCCACCATGCCCAGATAATTTTTGTATTTACGGAGTTTCACCGTGGTTGGCCAGGCTGGTCTTGAACTCCTGACCTCATGATCTGCCCGCCTCAGTTCTATTTTGAAATCAAATATTTTTTAAGACCCTTATCTTTATAGATAGGTTTAAAAAAAATCATAAGCCCCCCTAAAAAGCATTTTCCACAATAAAAGCCCCACAAAAAGTTATTTCCCAGCACGTGCCTTTATAGGAAAAAGCTGCCAGATGATATTAACAGTTGGGAATCCAAAAAGGCTTGATTCTGCTTTTGATTTTTTGTTTTCAATCTACTTTTTCCATAGCCCAGTTAGAGCTGGGGGCAGAACTATCGGTCTGGGTCTGGTTTTCTTCTTCTTTTTTTTGAAATGGAGTCTTGTACCATCACCTGGGCTGGAGTGCAGTGGCACACTGTCGGCTCACTGCAGCCTTTGCCTCCCAGGTTCACATGATTCTCCTGCCTCAGCCTCCCGAGTAGCTGGGATTACAGGCGCATGCCACCACGCCTGGCTAATTTTTTGTATTTTTAGTTGAGACATGGTTTCACTTTGTTGGCCAGACTGGTCTCGAACTCCTGACCTCGTGATCCCCCAGCCTTGGATTCCCAAGGTGCTGGGATTACAGGCGCGAGCCACCGTGCCCAGCTGGTCTTGGTCTGGTTTTCGGGCCGTCATTGTTGAGCTGTGTAACTTTGGGTCTCCTCACAGCATATTTATATGTGGCTCTTCCTCCTCATATGTTCACCAGGCTCTTCCCACCTGAGCTTTTGGCAGGAGGAGAAGGGGTGGGGTGGTAATTAAGCAGGATCCCTGGGGAGAGACCCCTCCTCCAGAGAGAGTGTGCCCCAGCCTTTCCCCTCTGCACCTTTGTCCCAATCCTGCCTTGGTCTCATCCCACAGAGCCTTTCTGAGTGGTGGAGGCACAATGTCCCCAGCTCATGAGACCCGGAGGTCCTCATGCTGCCCAGGCACTGTCCTTCCCAGACAGGATGTCATCACTCAGTGCAGGGTTGGTGTGGCAGCATGACGGCCTGGCCACACCGTGGGCTAGAGCTGGGAGAAGAGAGCTCTTACGGATTACATGCTTACAAAAGAAAAACATTAAATAAAAATTTAAAAAGTAATATGTTAATCCCAAGAAGTAAACTTAGTAAACCATAGAAAAGACTGGATGCCTAGCACTGGATTAGAAATAAAAATCCAGTGAGAGTTTTAGAACTCGGCCATGCTTCTGTGATTGTGTGCTGGCCTTTAGAATGGAAAGCCCACCCCGTCCCCCAGTTCTCATCTGTTCGAGGGGACAAATGGAAAACCCTCCCTCTGCAGGATTTGCTGCAAGGCAAACGTGGTGAAACCTTGGTGAGCACAATGTGAGATAGAATCCCGCTTTCCCGGAGAGCGTGGCCCCCCTCAGCCTGTGCTGTAGTCCCTGGTCCCCTTCGTGTGCAGCTAGGCTCCAGCGGCTGCTGCAGTGCCAACGAGACAAGCCAGAGCTCCTGGCAGCTCCGCAGCCCTGCAGGGAAGCGGGTCTGTGTTCTCTGCTGAGAATATCTGAGGCTCCGGGTCAGCTGCCCTGAGAGCACAGGCCCAGGTTGGTGGAGTCAGGCTGCTGTTCCCTCTGTTAGATTTCTCCTAGTGCCGAGAAGGAAGAGCTCGGTTGCTTCTGGGGCTGCTGTGCCACGGGCCCTTCGGGTTCACCAGGGCAGGAGAAAAGGCCAGTCATGTCCTGACAAGGCTGCTCTTTCTCTTCTCCAAATCAAAACCTTTCCACCACCCAGACCATCCCCTCCAGGGAAAAGCGGGCTCAGCCTTTGCCATCAGCCAGTTCTAGCCATACCCAGCGGCGGCTCTTGGAGAGTCGTCGCCGGGGTACCACGCCCCCCATCCTCATCAACAAAATGTGGCTTATCTCCACATCTTATATTTCTGTGATCGATCCACCCTGGGTCCCTCTTTTGGCAACCTCTAGAGGTGACGCAGGTCCTCCATGCTTTTCTGCTGAGTCCCTAGCTGGCGGTCTGCAGCTGTCCTCGCCGCCGGGGGCCAAGCTCTCCTCCCTGCGAGGCTCAGGTCCAAGCGCCCGTGCTTCACGCCAGCCCTGCCGTTCTTGCCCTGCATGTAGGTGAGGACGCCAAGGACTGGAAACAGCGAGCGCGTGGGCAGGGCCAGTCCAACACGCCGAGGTGGCGACACTGTTGACCCCAGTCGGGCCGCCTGTGGGGCGGCGCTGTCGTTATTTCACATTCTGAGAGTCTTCTCAGAGTGGGAGCTCTTGGGAAACGAGCGGAGTCTACACTCCCTTCCTGTCTCCCTGCGGCCGGCAGAGAGCTGCGCTGGTGGCCGGAGCCCCGCGGGGCAGGGGCTCTGCGTGTCCGGCATGCAGGGCCCTCGGCGCCCGGGACGAGTGAGCCACGGTCCAGATGTGTGGCCCGTCCTGACCCCACTGTCTCTCTTGCCCCTCAGGCCATCTCGCGCCTTTGCGAGGACAAGTACAAGGACCTGAGAAGATCCGCGAGGAAGCGCTCAGCCAGTGCGGACAACCTGACTCTGCCCCGGTGGTGCCCGGCCATCATCTCCTAACCGTGGAGGCCCGCCGGAGGCCGCACCATCCCTTAGTTTCTCGTTTAGTTTGAGAAAAGACAGACTTGGGGTGGGTTTGGTTTTTTTTCTTTCCTTTTTTACCGCATAGCTCCGTCGGCTGCCTGGATGAGCGCCCGCGCAGCGAGGCTTGGAGGACGTGTCCGTGCCCTGGAGATCCCGGCTCGCCTCCCCGCTGTCAGCAGCGGCGCTCCCCTCGTGGAGGAAGCGGCCTGGAATCCTGGAGGAGGGAATAAAGGGAACGGGAAGGCGCGGAGAGGCAGGGAAGATGGTTAAGCGGCCCGGCCCTCTGGCGTCCCCGTGGGGGCGGTGGCTGCGGAGCCGGCTGCACCCGGGGCTGGGCCAGCGTGTCCTGTAAGACTTCTTGCATTCCTTCTGCTGCTTTTTTGGGATGGGGGATTTTTGTTCATTTGTTTTTGCCCTGTTTTGGTTTTGGTCCCACAGAGCAGGGAATGTAGTTTGTACCCACCATGGCGCAGACTTCCAAATAAATAGTACTGGTCATTTCTCTCCGCACTATTTCTGCGCGCTGTCTTCTGAGCTTTCTTCCTCACCAGTGGGCTGTGCTCGTTCCATTTCTGTACACCCTTATTTTATACCGTTTTTCTTCAACAATGGCGAAAGTAACTTGACTGTAGTGCTGAACCAAAAGGACCCCTTTCCCTCCTTACTACTCACCCCAAGAACATTCTAGATCACATGGGTGCTTGTGCCTTCCGATTTTCTTGCATTTGTTTTTTTCCTGGCCTGAAGTTGTCATTACAAAATCAGTCAGACTTTGTGGGCTGAAGGACGCTGTGCAGCGGAGGGTGTCCCCGGAGCCTTCTCCAGAGTGCTGGGCGTGGCCTGAAGCCGAGTAGGAGCCATTTCTTTGTACCCCTGCCTGATTCATTCCTCTCCTTACGAGTCCATTGTTGCAAGCAATATTCTTCTCAATTTTTATATGTTTACTTTAAATCGAAGTTAGTCTATTTGTATAAAATTTTTTAAAAATCTAAAATAAAAAAAAAACAAGGATGGGTTGGGTATTCCAGTGGGAAGATCATTGAAGGAAAAATGTTAACTATTTACTGAGGTATTTTTCACAGAATGATTGAATAAAAAAACAACTTGGCATTTTCATTGTGGGTGCTTAGAGAAGTTCTACAAAATTCAAACTGTGAAGGTTTATGCTTCATTAATTATGACCGTACTTTTTCATTTTCTGATGATCCCTGATTTCCTTATGGGCTCAGTAAGAATCTTTCATGTCAAGTAAAATAAAAGAGGTAATGATGGAATATGAAATAGCGAATTTGATCTGAAGTCTGAGAGTGTGCGTCACTTTCATATACGATGCTTTGGGTTTTTGCATATTTTCTTAGGTCTCAGTGACAGGTTTCTGAGTTGTTTCCCTTTTCAAGTCTCCGGGAGGCCAGTGGCAGCAGCAGGTCTGTGTTTCACCTTCTTCCCATGTGAGCTTGGAAAACTTTGGCATCTTAATTAGTCTTGAATCATACACCTGATCCCCAGACATTGCCTGCTCTCCGTGAAACACGATTTGGAAATGGAAGGGACTCAGAAAGTCAAAATCCCAAAAACACCAAGCCAAAAGTGTCAGGTGCTGGTGAAATTTGTGTCAGGTACAAGCATACCTGTTTGGGCCAGAATTATCACAGCCTTTCTGACCCAAACTTTCAAAAGCAAGCAAACAGAAGGTAAAATGTTAATTATCTTTCCATTGTAATTGTGATGATCTACTCTGTATGGGTACCAAAATCAGCTTCTCTCTTCAAGTCAGAGTTGAATTTAGAACTTTAAATACAGGTCTAAAAATGTAGAAAATATCATTTTATATTCCCTAATCTATATAGCTGAAAAAGGGATGTATTTTCTTAGCTGAATATGAATACCTCTTAAATTAGTTCCTCTCAAGTGAAGTATCTTATTTTACCGATCCATTTCAGGAAAGAGGTTCTGCTGCCTTAATAGCAGAAATTTTATTTTTATCCCTTTTATTTGAATGAGAGATTTGAAAATCAAATTATGTAAATATTTCAATGCATCTGCTATTATTTTGTGGAGTTTATTAAACTACTTTAAAAAATTGTATAGTCTATTTATTGTATGTATGTACATACAGTCTGATACCTAAAATTTAAAGTGGATTCCATAAAACCTGACTCAGTCTTGTTTAGACTACTGAATACTGTTTTAGCCTGTGCCCTGGACTCTACCTCTGTATAGGAAAAGTTTCCATATTCATTAATTAGTATTGATCTGTATGAATTGGTTATGTTTCTTGCACTAGGGATGTTTAAAACTCTGCTGTAAGTGTAGATTTTAGTTTTACTGGCAGGATGAATCACTTGACACATAGGTAGATACTTGAGGTTCATTTTCTTTTCTTTTTCTACATGATGATGAATAGTTATGTTTTCTTCTCTGATTTGTGCAAAGTTTGCCAAAAGAAAACACAAAACCAGTACAGTACCTATTGATAAATCATAGTGACTGTAATTTGTTTGTAAGGCGAATTAATGCTCTACCATTAAAGCTGGATTACTATTGAGGAATACATTGTCTTAGTGTAGTTTTTGAATGGAGAGTTTTTGTCATTAATGAAGGATGAAGGAAACCACACAATTTGTTGACTTCAATTTTAGATTTCATTTAAACAACAAAGTCATTGGGACAACAAATACCCTGAAGAATCTTTTTGGTTTGTTTTACTTTTTTTTTTTTTTTTTTTAACTTAGAAAAAGGGAAAGAAGTCAGGTGTTTAAAACCAAATTGGAGGGCAGATGAGAAATCCTGTCAAGATCAGAACATGCCTTCATGCACGAGGTGAGGCCAGAGGCGTTGGCACCCATCCTGCCCCTCTTCTGGGCTGGCTCTTTGTCTGCCTTCTCTAGGGCTTGGCCAGAGCATCTCCATCTTAGGTTTCCTTTAAGCTAAGCTGCAAAGCAGAATTTGGAGAGTGAATGATTTTAACTTGTCCTGCTGCTTCCTGGGGCCATATTTTACAGATTTGAAATTTATTTATTTTTGAGACAGAGTCTCTCTCTGTTGCCCAGGCTGGAGAGCAGTGGCGTGATCTGGGCTCACTGCACTTCTCCTGCCTCAGCTTCCTGAGTAGCTGGGATTACAGGTGCCTGCCACCACACCTGGCTGATTTTTATAGTTTTAGTAGAGATGGGGTTTCACCGTATTGGCCAGGCTGGCATCAAACTCGACCTCAAGTGATCTGCCCACCTCAGCCTCCCAAAGTACTGGGATTGCAGGTATGAGCCACCATGCCCAGGCCAGATTTGAAATTTTTAAAAAACATGATTCCTGGTTATTGTAGGTATTTAATAAATGTTAAATAAATACATATATAGAACAAAATAGTTCCTGCCTTCCTGCTGTATTTTTTGTTATTATATTGAGATAAAATTCAAGAGGTTTATGGATGCTCATTGAACCAGTTCTTTGCAAGGGCAGTGGCAGAAAGTGGTACTAGCCCTGTGTTCTTGATCGACTCACGGAAGTATGAGACCTACACCAGCAATTGCGAGGTTGCACAATAGAGACCCAGTAGAACTTGGCCCCTTCATATGGATGCTCTGTTTTGTCTGAAATCATTTTCTCTCCCTGGATGTCACTGGCGTCAGCGTCTTGAGTCTGAAAGACGTTAATCATCTGAAAAGTCAGCCATAATCAGGTCCCACCCTTGTTGAAAAAGTGAAGGAAACAAGATACATGCCCTTGTGCTGAGATTGAAAAATGATACGTAACTTGGGTTTTAGATTTTTTTTTTTTGAAACGAGTCTCGCTTTGTCACCCTGCCTGATGTGCAGTGGCACAATTCTAGCTCACTGTAGCCTCGAACTCCTGGGCTCAAGTGATCCTCCTGCCTCAGCCTCCCTAGTCTCAGCCTCCCATGTGCCACCATGGCCAGCTAATTAATTTTTAATTTTTTTTTTGAGATGAAGTCTTGCCCTGACACCCAGGCTGGAGTGCAGTGGTGCAATCTCAGCTCACTGCAACCTCCACCTCCCAGGTTCAAGTGATTCTCCTGCCTCAGCCTCCTGAGTAGCTGGGACTATAGTCCCCCGCCACCACACCTGGCTCATTTTTGTATTTTTAGTAGAGACGAAGTTTCACCATGTTGGCCAGGGTGGCCTTGAACTCCTGACTTCCAGTGATCCACCTGCCTCTGCCTCCCAAAGTGCTGGGGTTACAGGTGTGAGCCACCACCACGACCAGGCTAGTTTATTTTTAAATTTTCTGTAGAAAGGGGGAGTCTTGCTTCGTTGCCCACGCTGGTCAAACCCTGGCTTCAAGCGCTCCTCTTGCCTCACCCTCCCAGGGTGTTACGTCCTAAGCTGCATGGGCTTCATGGCAAGGCCTGCAAACAGCCTGATGAAGGTGCTGACTTGCTTATTGAATGCAGTACCCTGCTAGAGCTGCTGCACCCAAGCAGGGCTGGGGGGCTGCCCCGGAGTGTTTGCAGTCGCCGTGGTGGGACTGGAGTTTGCGCTTCCAAGTCACGGGCTCCCTGCCTGGTTTTCCTGTTAGCTTTTCTTACTAGGTTTGCATATGTGAAGGGGCTAAAGGTCCTGTCTGTCACTGTCCTCAGCAGTGATAACCTCAAAATGAACTTCTTAATGTGTCAGGTGAGAGACTTTGGCGGCTGCTGTCCGTGTGCACTGTGGCAGGTCTGGGCTGGACACAGCACCCAGGTGAGGATGTCCTGGCAACTGTATCTGTCCTCCCTGGGTCTTTGTGGAAAGAGTTCTGCAGAACCTGTTACAGGAAGAAGTGAACTCAGACATCACGTCTGACTTAGTGATGTTCAGATTCTACAGATCTCCATGGACTTTCCTGTCCCCTTTAAGTGACTTGGTTTCAGTTGGGGGCTTTCCTTTTAAGAATTTTTGTTTGTATAAACAAGTTATTTCAAATATGGAATAAAAGAATGGCATTACAAAATATAGTCTGGGATAGAAATATTAAATGTAACGAGAATTTATGTATAACGTGTTAACACTGGTATTGATCTGTGTGGTCATGGAACCTTGGGTTTTAATCTCAGACCAAAAAATTATCTTGCTCTGTGACCTTGGACAAATGACTTGACCTCTCTGGGCCTCTCGGTGACCTTGGCTGTGAGGGAGACTTGTTTTCATCTCCTTTGTTTCTCAGCAGTCTGCTCAGCCATTCAGGCACAGTTGTTGGACGCTTCTCTAGATGTAGCAAGGCTGGGCGTAGTAAAAGCCAGGTGCACGCGTAACGGTGACGGAGCACCCGGGACCAGGGGAAGTCGGTTGTGTTCTCCAGGCCCTCTCCTAGAGGAGGGTGGCTGTGGGTAGAAGCAGCAGGTCTCACGGAACCTGGATGCCCAGTTTGCCGCTGCTGTCCCTCCTTGCCCACCTCTTCCCGATACAGCTGAACGCTCAGCGTGGCTCCACTTGGTCGTTCCTGGACTTGGTTTGTGAGTTCTTGTCCACATTGGTGGATCATGGAAATCTCCAAACAGTGGAGATAGGTGTGTGAATTCACCGCCAAGTGCCTCTGTCCTGAAGAGGATGCTGCGTCATCTCTGTGAGCTCCAGCAATGCTTCCTTAGACCTGACTGAAGGTCAGGAAGCCAACCTTGGAAGAGGTTTTGCACTTCCTCCTGTGCAGACAGCAGCACTGGGCTTGGCGCGTGGCAGGGATGACTCTGCAGGGGCAGGACACCCGCCCCCAGAGCCAGGCCTTGGTGCAATGCCGGGGGCATGTGGCCTGGCCGGCCCCATGGCTTTGCTGGATCCCGAGTTGCTTCATCTTTAAAACAAAAGAAATGTGTGACTCTCCAGAGCCCTTCCACTCCTAATATTCCATTACGGTTATGCTGGGTTTTCTAGGAGCAGCCTTGGGGCTAATTGTGGTCACCCCTGCGATCTGTGAAAAATAAATACAGAATGTGGAAAGACGGAGAGTGAGGTACCCACAGCCCCGAATGCTGGGTAGCTCCTTCCATGGTTGTGCCCCATCCTGTGCTGAGCCGCGGCCACTTACATGTCAGCAAAACCCGAGACAAAATTCCTGCTCTAGAATATTATCTAGAAAACGTGTGTACTTGTTTTGTGCTGATGCAATTCCTTCCTTCAGCAAAGACCGAGCTGGACAATGCCTACTTTGTCTTGGGGATGGATACGGCAGAAACAGATGAGCTCTTGGCTTTCTTGGGGGGTGCTCTAGTGGAGCAGATGGTCAAGTTAGCATGTAAAATGGATCGTGGAGTGTCAGGAGGAAAATTGAGGGGTTATGATAGTAACTAGGAGCTGGCAGCTTGGTGGACATGACCTTTTGACTGGACGTCTCCGTGGCAGAGATGGGGAGAAGGGCAGATGGTGGGAGATCAGCCCAGGCCCCGCAGGCATTGGTGAGAAACACAGATTTGAAGACCAGTGGGAAGCTGCCGCAGAGTTGAGTTAGACTGCGCCGCGCCAGGCGTGGTTCTGGTGCTCAGGGAGAGGGTGTGACAGGCAGCACGGTTCCCGCCTCGACGGCCACAGGCTGCAGAGAAGGGCTACGTCCACTTCATCGGTTACACGTAGGAGAAGAAAGACCAGCACTGTCACAGGACAGTTCTTGCCACACCTCTGGGATGAACCATCGGTAAGTTGCTACAGATGATGTGTTCCTGAGGCTGGGCCAAACCCCGAGTACCCACCATCTGCCTGCATCAGACGCCGTGGGACTGAGTCAGGACAAAAACCCGGGCCCCTGCTCTCAAAAGCCGTGTTTGGGCTGGGTCAATGAAAACAGACACATTTTCATCCTAAACACATTGTCATCCTAGCATGGGCATGCGGTGGAATCTCTGCGCCTGTCTTTGGTAATAAAAATGTAGAGAAAGGGGTTCTTGAACATCATTTCCTCCTGCGGGCACGCATGAGTTATATAGTCATTTATCGCATGTTCAGTATTTTTTTTTTTTTAGCACCTTGAAGCTAACGTGAGTACTACGAAGAAAATCTAGGAGAAACACCTGGAAAATTATGAGAATTCAGTCAGATTATAGTTACAAGATCCGTGCGTAAAAATGGACAGTTTTCCAATTTGCCAGCAGTACCCAATTAGAGAATATAACAGAGAGAAGATGCCTTTCAAAATAGCAAAAAATTGTTGCTGTTTTGCTGCATATGCCTGTAGCCTCAGCTACTCGGGAGGCTGAGGCAGGAGGATCACTTGAGTCCGGGAGTTCGAGACTGCAAAAGGCTGTGATGGCGTCACTGCACTCCAGCCTGGGTGACAGAGCAAGACCTTGTCTCCTAAGAAAAAACAACAAAATAGCAACAAATTATATCCAAGAACAAACACATTTATCAAATGTTTATAGTGCGTCCTGCACAGTTTAAGCACTCAGCCTTTGTTAATTCATTGAATCCCCATAACAATTTCATGAGGGCGCTTATTAGGCTTGGAGAGGTGAAAATCTGGTCAGTAAGTGGTAGAACCAGAAAGCCTGATTCCAGAGTTTTGTTTGTTTGTTTTTTGTTTTTTAGAGGCAGGATCTCACCATGTTGCCCAGGCTGGTCTT